TCCGATAGATGGTTAGGAGCTGAGGCTGTATGTATTATCAACTTTCAACATCTGATTCTACCAGAGAGACACCCTCCCCATACAGGTAACATATTGAATGCTAATTTGGATCTTTGTAGGTTTAATGAATGTCAAAAAGTATCTGTGCTTTAAAATTGGTTCAGGTGAATCATAATTTATTTTATTTGCCAATATTTTGAGAAAAGAATTTTCAAAGTTAAATGCATGTATACATTTTGTAGAGCTTTAAGAGGGGGGGCTTAATTTTTATTTGAGTTCCAAAAGCATTAAACTAAGCCTAGTCCAATTCCAGTAGTTCTGATAAGCATGATACTCACTGTTTCTGTATCAGTATGCCTTCATCTCCATTTTTATGTCTAGACATGATAATTTCTCCCTGTTTCCTAGCAAGTGTCATTTATCATTTAATCTGAGCTCTCTGTAAAACTTTTATTTCAATTTATTTAAACTTATTTCTAGTATGTTAATTAACATACTCGTGAGTTTGGGTGTTCTTCCCCATCTTTTGTGTTTCTACACCATAATATTTTTATAATATTAGGAAGTCATGTCATGATAGCACTGCAGAATAGATTTCTATATACTGTCAATTTGTTTTCTGCAGATAAAATGTACCTTTTTATATTTTTATTTTTTGTAGTTTGTGGCCGGGGCCGGGTTTGAACCTGCCACCTTCTGTATATGGGGCCAGCGCCCTACTCCTTTCAGCCACAGGCACCGCCCGATAAAGTATACTTTTTACATTAGTTTTATTCCTCTACACCAACATGTAAAGAGATGTAGTAATCTGCAGTATCATGTAACAGAATTTTTCTTTGTCATACCTTGCAAAACTTCATTTACTATGATCATAAGAGTGACTACCTTTTTATTCTGACTTACGGAAGCAAATTTCATGAATACATGCTTATAATGATATAAATGCTCCCTCAAATATTCTATTTTAAAAATATCCCAAAGGTAATCTATTATCAGTATATTAAGTTTATTTTTTCTCTTTGGGAATACATAATTTGTGAGTATTGAGTTAAAAAGACATTAATAACTTCATAGGAAAATAAAAGTTAACTTTTTCCCATATAATTCCTTTAACAACAAGTTCTTTTTTTTTAATAGAATAAAAATGTAGTTCTGACTATTTTTAATGAAATTAGTATTTGGTAGTCCCTTGGGATAGGAAAATAAAGTTAAATTTTTGCCATATAATTCCTCCAACAACAAGTTCTTTTTTTCACTAGAATAAAAATGTAGTTCTGACTATTTTTGATGAAATTAGTATTTGGTAGTCCCTTGGGAAGTGAAAGAAGTGAAAGGAGGACTTAATGTGACTCCAAACTTTGCCAATTTTATTAAATGTGTCCCTTGTTCATTATCTTAGCTTATCCTAAAGAGTGAGACTGCGTACTGCAGCGTAACTCCACTTTGGTATCTTGGCAGAGCACAGATAAAAGGCTTGTCAACATAGAAAAATCAGGAGATTGTGGTATCTAGTGATCTGCTCATTGAACAGGAGCTTTCTGGTCTTTCATCCAATGGGCCTGTAGGTGATATTTAGAATCTCATGGTAAAATATGGAAAAAACTTGGGGGACTTTAATTTAAAATATGTGTTTCAAACAACACTGGAAGGTTTCTTTGACTACAGCCCTTGATTTTAACATGCATGCATTAGCATTATATTAATATTTTAATGTTCATTTAATCATTTCTCTGCCAAGTGACCAAGCACATATCACCCAATTTATATAATTAGCTGATTTCTGACTACATTTTAAAAAGCAATAAGTGCATCACCATGACATCCCAAATGATATTAGAAATGCATAAAATAACCTCAATGATTCCTGGGTTTATTTGGTTCAAAGTGTATATAGGCACACTGCTGAGTCCAAATCAGCCAAGAAAAATCTTTATCTTTCACTGAAATAAAGCATCTTAATTAAACATTATCAATAAATATGCACAATGGTATTTTTTAAATGTTATTAAGAATATGTATCAGCTTTATGACTAGCATTGCAAGCCTTAACCTGAAATGTCTCCTCACCTCTCTTGATTTTCAGTGCTATAGAAGATGTAAGAGGTTATAATCTGGTGTAGAATATATGCAGTTAGCTCTCAGTTACCTGTGTTACAGAGCTGAGCACTTTGGCAAGGATAATTTTACAAATTAGCGTTTTGACTTTTAAACAAATTTTAAAAAGAAAATTTGTTTGCCTTCCATTTGAAACAGTACTGTGAAGATCCAACTCAGGGTACCACTGTGTCCCCTTACTGGTTTTATTTTTGTTTATTTGTTTTTTCTTCTCAATTTTCAAATGAGTAGAATCATTTTCTGTGAAATAATTTTGAGAGTGAAGTGCCTCTCGTTTTTTAACTGATACCTTTCTGTGTTATGGGACACCCAAGGTCTATCGGGCACTTAAGGATGTGTGTAACGGCCTCTCTAAATCATTTATGTTTTCTAATCCCCTGGACCTTCAGTTCACAAAATGAGCAATAACTAAATCTAGTCTCTTTCTAGGTTTTCTCCAGGGCAGTTTCTTTACTTAGTCATGATCTGCTTTAAAGCTCCCACCTAAGTGTTTTCCTAGAATTATCATAAGTTCATTTCAGTTTCCATTGGTTATAGCAACAGCTCATTCATCTACTCCGGTTTAGTGAATAAAACTAATGACTTGTTACCAACCATTCCAGCACTGAAGTTCGCAAATGGTTTTCATTTTTCTACAAATTGGGATTGATTTTTTGTTCTATAACATGCATACTTTCATACGCTTATTATTCAAGTTACTTTCCTGATAGGAAAGACAGATAGCATTATCGTAGGTTTATAGAGAACTCCCCCAGAAGAAGGTCCAGGATGTCAACATGATAAATGTGGTGACATGGGGGGAAAAAGAGATCTGTCTCTGGTGTACAGCAATTTATGTTAAGTTCTTTTCCCCTCTAAGGAATTAGGATTGTTATAGTTTATTCTTTAAAATACTATATTCACTATTGTGCATGTTTTTCAGTTATTATTTAGCAGTACATGTTGTATCTTTTCAGAATTACTGGATCTGCAGCCTTTGCCAATCACAGCTTTGGGATGTAAAGCATATGAAGCCTTGTACAACTTCAGCCACTTTAACCCTGTGCAGACACAAATATTTCATACACTCTATCATACAGACTGTAATGTCCTGCTTGGAGCACCCACTGGATCAGGAAAAACTGTTGCAGCTGAATTAGCCATTTTCAGAGTCTTCAACAAGTACCCTACTTCAAAGGTCTGTTGAAAGAATCATATGCTTATATTCAGTTAGAAAAGATAGTTCATAATCTGTAAAATAGCCAGTTCTAAATATACTGGCAGATCCCAGTGGGTAGATTTGTCACTCTCTCAGTGAATT